GATATTGGATATTGGATATAAAGCCGCTAGTTGTAAGTACTGCGGTACGTTCTACAGTTGTAATAATAAAGGTATGCTTCAATAAGGAATCACTTATGGTCGACTTTATAGGTCTTAAACCTAATCAAATTTAATACGAAGACTCTAAAATCTTTAAGGGGTTCTACAGAAGTTCATACAAACATCTTGTAATTATAAAGACAAGTTTATATATCGTTTTTCAATTTTAAGGGTAACAACCCGTCGAAAAAATTGTTAACTTTAATCATTATTTAGAACAGAATAGAACTGTGTGGTATTATTACTCTCAGCGAACTTTCTATCTACTAAGCTGCACTCTTTGGTCAGCTCTTCGCCCTTTAGAAATTCGTGGCAGTTGTTTTAAGTTCGCACTTATACTATACTGTCTCCCAATAAATAGTGTTCACATGATAAATTTATATATATATATATATACATATATATATATATATAGTGGACTGTTCGTATGAAACCAGGTGATACGTGTCAACAGTCAAGGAGTTTGTTTTAAGTTTTTATCTTTGTAAATTGGTCAACATGCAGTTCTACCGAAGAAAATGTTTTGCTTCATACATAGTTGTGTTATAAATGCACAAAGCTTATTCATATAGTCCGAACTGAATCGAATTAGTTATTCTTACCGCTACTTAATTCCCAAGATGGTTCGACTGACGATCGGGTATGATGATATGATATTATTATGAATCGGCATATGTCTTACCTTTGTCGACAGCTCATCGTCATGTTTTACAGCCCAATGGTCAAGTTTTTGGCTTACGGTTATATTTTATGAAGCGGTTTCCTATAACGTTATATTATACCAGACTAGAAACTAGCCTATTAATCCTTGCACGCGTAACGTACTAACATTTCAAAAAGCATTCAATTGATGGTGGATTCATGTATTCAGTACTTTGCGGGGACTAATAACGCTACTCAGGTACCCATGAAGACGCCCAAGTTCGCAAAGTAATTTGTGTGAAGTGCTTGAACGTCGTTCTCTCAAATACATCAGTCTAAAATACTTAATCATCTTGGACTATGATTAATCTTGAGATGCTTTCTGTAGGATGGGACTTGAACCTCTTCACGTGCCCCCAATAGGGCATAGGCCACTTACATGTATTCTCCAGTCTACTCTGTCCTGAGCCTTCTTTTCCAGTTTTATCCAATTGTTCAGTCCTCTCATGTCTGCTTCCAATTCCAATGTGTTCTTTGGTCTTCCTCTTTTCGTTTTGCCTTGGGGATTCCAAGTGAAGGCTTCTCTTTGACATGCAGTCAGGTGCTTTACTCAATATGTGCCCTATCCACCATTAATGCTTCTTGATTTTTCTCTCTGATGGAATTGGGTTTGTTCTCTCCCACTGCCAGTTGTTGCTGATGGTGTCTGACCATCGGATTTGAACTATTTTGCGTAATTAACTGTTGATGAACATTTTCATCTTATGGATGATGGCTTTTGTAGTTCTCCAAGTTTCCACGCCATACAGTAGAACTGTCTTGACATTTGTATTAAAGATTGTGACTGGTGTTAGCTGTTAGTTGTTTTGAGTTGCACTTGTTCTTCAACTGTAGAAATGCAGCCCTTGCTTTGCCGATCCGCGCCTTCACTTAGTGCAGATAGGGAAACAACACGGTTTAAGCTTCATGCCTCTGGTAGCCCTGATGCTGCTTCCCGTGGCCTCGCCGGCGTAGGTATAGTATTAAGTCCTAGGACAGAACTAGCTGTCTTAGACTGGACCCCGGTAGACAGTCGCTTATGCGCTGTCCGACTAAATGGGGCGGTACGGACTCGTAAAGATAGGGACACTCGCCGTTGCCTCTTCTTTGTATCCGCCTACGCTCCCACTGACTGCAGTTCAGACGAGGTAAAAGATGAGTTTTAAAGAAACCTCTCTAAACTTCTTAAAAAAAGTTAAGCGTTCTGATATAGTAATAATGGCTGGTGACTTTAATGCCCAAGTAAGTGGACTAAGTGTAAAGGAAAGACATATGGGTGGATCTTATGGTGTCGTGTCTCAAAGATCAGATAACGGCGACCACCGACCGAAGCTGCTACCTTGACGTGGTGGTCGGTCGTGCCTATCGTGGTGACCCAACCGAGCTATACTGGCTGGAACACATGTTCCTGCAGGTCCTACCATGCCAGGCAGGTCGATTGGAGAACGATGAGACTAAAAGCAGCTGCTCAAGGTTTGAGGGCGAAGTCGTACTGCTGACTGCAGAGGGGTGTGACAGCAGTAAGGTGTTTCCCTCGGATAATCAGCATCTGCAGCGATGCTGCCTTCTCACAAGGAAGGAAGGGTTAGAAAAGGTCGGCCCTAAAAAAAATGTCACACCTCCCCTAACTCACGGATTTCCGTCTCCTTGGGTTAGGGTACCCACTAAGGGCCTTTAAGAACGGAGCTAATCCTCAAAAAACGTTTCATAAAAAGGCCGTGCGTGACCGGCCTCAAACAGTTGTCCCATGGACTCTGCGGTCACGCAATCAGGTCTCCGAGACCAACACTAATCTATCTTCCTTTTCAGGTCCCTCAAGAAACAGCCTTCCACGGTGTGGGCAGCCGGGAAGTGATAACCGCCCTCATACCCGCAACAGCACACGAGACCAAATTGTTCAAAATCAAATCCTTCCTACATTCCCTAATACCTCTCTTATCTCCACGACTAACTGTTCTCACATTCATTTATCACAGTGCACAGCTAATGCAAACGATGCGAGTTCGCGAAACGTCGTTCCTGGTCTCCTTAAACCCCGTTCCAAACTACATGTTGGAGCATTTAATGTACGGACATTGTGTCAAATAGGGCAACAAGCATCATTAGCTAGGACTTTAGAATCTGGTTCCATCGATGTGTGCTGCGTCTCGGAAACGCGCATACAGGATCCGAGTAGCATCATTCACTTGACCTCACCATGTCAAGATAAAGAAGCAGCTCGATTTACCCTTCGTGTATCCGGTAGCCCTGATGCTGCTTCTAGGGGCCTCGCCGGTGTAGGTATAGCATTGAGTCGTAGGGCAGAACAGTCTCTCCTTGACTGGATTCCTGTAGATAGTCGCTTGTGCGCCGTCTGACTGAACGGGACAGTAAGGGCTCGGAAAGATAGGGACACTCGTCGTTGCCTCTTCGTCATATCTGCCTATGCCCCCACTGACTGCAGCCCAGATGATGTAAAAGATGAGTTTTACAGAAAGCTTTCGGACCTTCTCCAAAAAGTTAAGCGCTCTGATATAGTTATAATGGCTGGTGACTTCAATGCACAAGTAGGTAGACTAAGTGAAAATGAAAGACACCTAGGTGGATGTTACGGTCTCGCAACTCAAAGAACAGACAATGGCGACCGTCTGTTGCAACTGTGCTCAGATAACCAACTATTTCTAGCAAACACTAATTTTAAGCATAAGGAAAAATATCTTTTGACCTGGCGATCCCCGAAGTCGTCTCAACGTTGGACACAACTAGATCATATCGCTATAAGCCATCGGTGGAGAGGCTCTATCTAAGACTGCCGCTCATTCTGGAGCACTTCTTTGGACTCAAACCATGCTCTAGTGCGAGCGCGTATTTGTTTGCGTCTCACTAGACGTAGGAAAAATATCTCGAGGAAACCTGTTTGGGCTCTACTTAATGATAATAAAGCTAAGAATATATTTCAGGAACAACTGGAAAATCAGTTAGACAGCTGTGTAGTAAGTGATGCCCACCGTGAGGCAGCTTGGAATGATATCAAAAAAGCTGTGGAAATAGCAGTGATATCTGCTAGTAATGTAAACCATGAGGTTAGGGAGAAGCTGTGGATTTCAGCAGATACCGGCCCAGTGATCCAGAGGTTAGACATTCGCATGCAAGACCGAAGGTTCTGGGTTCGGATCCTGCAGGAGTCGTGAATGCGCACTGCTTATGAGTCCAATACCAGAACAAAAAGGCGGTGGAGTGCTTCCAGTTTTCAAATGGTCGTCTAACAATGATTGATTGATAATTTCAATGTTTGAAAATGTATAAATATAACTTTTTTCAAGTTATTCATTTGAGTTGACATTACTTGAAAAATAGCACTTATTTTAGTGGGATTAATAAAAGTTTTCTTTCTAGTCTACTTACTCGTTAATGCATTTACCAACGTATACAGCACATGTCTCTTGTCGTAGGTCTAAATGACATCCTACAACAAGTCATCCTGCCACGTAACGGTTAGCGAAATATCGCTCATAACTTCACCAAAATCAGTAGCACATCCATGTATATCGTTAATTGTATCCGGTATTGTCCAAAAGGTGCCGTTTGCCGCGATCTACCAAATATCTTCAAACGGTGCCTTTTGAACCTAACATAATATATTTTCAAGAACAATATCAGTTACACAGCTATTATTCAGGAATATCTGTCTTCGTTTGAAAAAAAATAAACCCCTAGTTTATCTGATATTTATTTAACCAAGTACAGGTTGGAAGAAAGTTAGGGGCGGCCAGACCAAAGCATGGCAAAAATCCACGATGTCATTGACGAGTAGACTTAGCCATGTCGGTAGATGTCGACTACCTGGTTGGGGTCCTCGAGATGATAATAATCGATGGTTAGAAACCTTGAATGACATGTCTCAAAATCGTTCGCAATGGCGCCGGTGCATTTATTCTTTGTGTTCTCTCAAATCCTAATCTACTGAATTCTTCAACACCTCTAGTTTTGACTTTCTAAACTTTTCTCACTGAATCATATTTCTTGAATATCTTCTAATCCTAACCTCTGCTATTACTTCTAATCCTTTTACTACCTCTTCTACTATTGAATTTGAATTGACAATTACATTTCTGTGCTACTGTGGTATAGCAATATGAACTGATGTACTTACGTACAAAATTCTACGTTGCATCTGACTGACTGACTGAACCAAGTACAGTAGAATGTTAGTCAAATAATGTAATTCATTTCATAATTATTATTCTTTATACATATATATTTATTATCTATTTATCCAGAAAATCAAATCAAAAAAATCATGTCCGATGATAGTGATGCATTTGCTAGTGCCGATGAAAGTTTACCTGTTAACATCAAAGTAAACGAACCAGTGAAAATGCAACTACAGTCTAATCTCAACGAGAATGTCAATGATAATAATAACAATAATAATAATAATAGTTGTACTAATTCAGATATTCCACCTCAACGATCAACTAATAATACAACATCAAAATTACACAAAAAATCAAATGTAGTTGAGTCAAAAAAGAAAAAAGTTAAACAGAAAAAGGCACAATCTATGCCTAAAACATTTGAGAAAGTAAGTTGATGATGGGTTAAGTTTTTGTTCAATGTTGTTTACATGATGACATTTTAAAATTGATGAGTTTTATGAGTTCTTATGTATTTTTCCTTATCTCTGGTTGATAAATATATTTGGATAATAAATTTGAATGAAGGTAAGCTTTTGTGTAGAAGATATTAATCTAGTCATGAATCCAATTGGTGTAGTGTTAACAATCATTTAGTAATTATTAGTTTGATAAACCAAGTACTGTTCAATGACTCATTGACCAACAAATAGTTCACAAAATAAAATAGTGTAATATATTATCGGATTATCATTTGATTTTTACTATCAACTGGACCTGAGATAGTCGGGATATGCGTTACGAATGTCCAACCACAGACTGCCTCGATGAACTATGTTTTGCGGTGTAGGAGTAGGTTGGAAGAAAGCTAGGAACGACCAAACCTAAACATGGCACAAATCCATGAAGTCACAACTGAAATGAGTCATGTTGGTAGATGAAGGCTACCTGTTTGGGGCCCGCGAGACGATAGTAACCGGTTGTTAGAGACATTGAATGACATGGCTCAAAACCGTTTGCAATAGCGTAGGTGCATTCATTCTTTGTGTTCTCTCAAATCCCAATCCTCCGAATTC